GTCAGACAAGTCCATTATATGCACAGGTGGATATTTCCCGCATATGCTCACAATCCTCACGTCAGTTACCTTAAACTTTTCTCCCAATACCGATTGTCATATCTCTCCCGCTTTTGGATGCGATCGTCCGGCCATCGCTTGTATCTGTGTTGCTCAGCTACATCCTTTGGGAACAACACAGTAGACATTTCACTCTATAAAAATAACGTCATCCAATTTACGTTTGAAATCGTTACACCGTTCAAGGCATCGGTGAACGTTTTATGGTAGACGTGTGAAGGATATTTGATGCATCAGTGACAAGAATGCAATGTCCGATGCAGTTCCATAGTTTGACTTGTACCGTGTGATTCCTTGCTATTTTTTCACATGAACAAGTCAGTTACGTTTGCTGGGATTACACTATTTGATAGTAATTCATTAACCCATGTTAATGATTTTGTTGAAATCGTACAACGGACTCTTTTTAGTAGAGATTCCCTGTGATTATGGAAATGTTTTGTTGTTGTTTTTATTCGCTTTAAATTGCAATTAAAACATCAGCTACAAAACCATTTCTATGATTTTAAGAAATCCAGTGTACCATTCTGATTATATTAAGAGCATGTGTATATGTCTAAACAAATACAAGCGAAAACCAAAACACTTTCCATATCCACTAGAAGTCCCAGTAACACAGTGACAAGAAACATTTTGTTTAAACTTTACATGGATTAACCGAAGACCAGTCATTTTAACATTTTAGCATATGTCTATAACTAGAAATGGAAATTAGGGAACCATGATGCTCCATAATACTGAATAATCAGGATCTGTTCTTGTCAGATGTCAAGTGAAAACATTCTCACCCAACGCTGCCTGTGAGCTCCTCCGGGGAGGCACCTATCACTTCTATGGGGACTCCATTGTCAGAATGGTGTTTCTTGCCGTCATCATTATACTCAAGGGAGACAATCAATATGGCGGACTTCGACCCGATGCACCTGCAGGTATGTAAACCTTTTTTCTTTTCAATGATTCAATCATAAATATTGTACCTCCATGGTGCCTGTACTTATTATTGATGAATTAAAACGTACAAGATTTGTACATATATCTACAACCATTTGGATGAGAAGCAACCACCAAAGTGATTTTCATATTTCATTCTTAATAAATCAAGCTTGTGTTAGGAGGAATAAACTGAGTTACAGCTAAATAATCCTTTCAAAAGAAGTCGTTCTGACACATATTTGGTTTTATTACAGACATTAAGACAAAATGTTCTGGGATGTATGTTTTTCCAACCCGTAACTGTCGAGCGTATTTGGACTACACTCCGAAACTCTGCAACGGGACGGTAACAGTGCTGTTCCGTCATTATCCACAGAGTAGCGACGTTCCTAAGATGAGACAAGACGTCAAACGGATTATGGGGAAGCCAAAGTCTCTCCTCTTCTTCGGTGCCGGTGCATGGCACCATTTCAATAAATTGGTTATGAAAGATTATGCCATGACTGTTATCACTTTGCTTGAGAACGAGGCTTGGCCGAAGTTGATATGGTCAGGTTTTCATCATTTTGGTCTCTTTCACAGACGGTATACACCAACATCAGACAATGCTCACGTTGAAGTCTTTAACAGATATATGGAGGACCTCCTGGGAGGATTCAATGTCTCTGTGTTTGATTCCTTCAACATGACTAAAGGAGTCAGGAGCGTGGATGGCGTGCATTACGGCCCTGGGGTCAACTTTGTTAAAGCTCAGATATACTTGAACTATATATTGGAATTACAACGTCAAGAAATGTGGAATTGAGACGTCTGTTTTATGCATGGATATGATGAAATCTTATATTTGCTGCAAATCATCATATTTTCGCTTCATTGGTCCATACTCGTGACGTTGTGGATGTGTGAGCTTACATTATTTTTATTTACAACAAATTTAATTATTTTGTAAATGCATTGTTTAAATCATATGATAAACATAACTTTCATAAGCATGAACATTAGGATTAGGACCTTCCCAATGGTGTATAACATGTTGTGGCAAATATGTTTTACAAGCAGATATTTTACTTGATATATGTTGGCTTCATCCATAACCAAAGAGTCTCTGGGACCTCGGTGACACAGCAGTAAAAGCTTCTAGTTGACTTGTGTTGAAAGAGTTTAATTGATAAAACGAGTGGACACTATGTACCATGGAGTCTTGGATAAGCATTTAGAAGTTGGAATAACATGAATGCATGACACGTTTTCATTTTCCACCTCATGAAGGGGGCAACACTGCACCAGCAGTGGTGCCACCAGCAGTGGAGAGAGTAATCTTCTCAGACAAGTGCAGTTATAACAACAGATGGCAGAGAGAGAGAGAGAGTCTGGCGACGCCCTGGGGAACGTTATTATATTCGAATGAACAGCATCCCAGACAGAAGCACCTCACGGCGTATCACCTGAATATGGGAGGAAAACCTGAATTGGTTCATATAGTAAATGTTTACCACTTTGTTGAAGTAGGGTAAGGTGCTGATAAACGTACAAACATGATCTTGTCGAACAGGGATTCGAACCCACATTCATAGGTTGCTGGCGTGTCCAAGGGAGACAACTCTGCACATATAGTTATAGGACTAGGCCACAGGTGCCCCATAATAAGAGATTAGGTAGGTATATCGTACATCCTACAGCACATTACAGGAGACGAAACAATTTGGAAATATCGTAAAATTTGAATGAGGACATGTGATCCAAATGATTATTTCATACCCCGTAATTACTGTGAAAAAGTAAAATGGCTCAACTCGAATCCCACATAAAACAAATATGAAGGTAATGGGCAAAAGATAATGTGAAAATTGTGTGGGCAAATCTGGAGATCGCCCACTCAAACTCTCCACCTAAACCCTGTACCTCGTCCCGCCAATCCCACAACTCCACTACTCAACCACCCACCTTGCTAATTCATTTCCCTACTCGATCCCGCACTCCTCTAAGTCAACCACAAGCCTCCTCACCGCAACTCCGACCACTTAATACTGGACCCCCCCCCCCCCCAACCACCCCCCCCCCCCCCCCCCCCTCTCAACCCTGCAACTTCCCCACACACAATCACCTCCCCCACTCAAGCATTCACCTCACTTCCCTCGCAACCCCTCCACCCTTACATCAACACGGATACCCGAATCTTTACATTCAAGCGTATTCCCTTTGAATACAGCGTGTGCATCGCCTACTGTGTGTAGGGGCCACGGCGAGGTTTAAGCAGGAAACGAAACCCGTTGCTGTCAGACATACTTGTATCAATATTGCAAGCGATTGATAGAAATAAAATATATAACGATGAATATATTTGTTTGGTTTAGAGCTGTTGTTGTTTCTTATTTCATTGATCAATTGCTCACTACCTCAGTCTGCTCTGGACGATTGTACTCATTCCTGAGGAATGTGGTCACACTACGACCGCGACGATGCAAGTATTTAACGTGTAGTAAAGGCTACATGACATGCAAAGTCAGGTGACATAACTTGACGCCTGTGACAGACTGTGATCTTCAATATCACTTCCTCCTTATAACGAACACTGTAATCAGAGTGTGCGATATACGCATGCGCCGTGCACTATGCAGTGTGCTGACTCTATTTATAGAGGAGGAAATAGTGCAGACAGTCCTGGTCTTATCTCGGCTCTATTTTGACGGTGTTAGAGTACACGGCACGGCGTATTATTTACAGCCTAGTTATGTGCTGTTTGTTATCTTCACTGTGTAAGTACTTGCTTCCGCATGGTTGCTCAAATCTCTGTTTTATCGCTTGTCATGTTTCCAAATGTAGAACACGTTAACTGTAAACATATAGCTGTTGCTGTTATCAATGTCCGTTGCCGGGTTATCCATTCGGCGAAGTGAATGTTGATTTACACCGCAGCCATTCGCTCCTGACAAAGTAGTGGTTGATAGCATGAACAACTTAAACACTGTCGGGGTGCAATGACGCGCAGTTCTACAGGTAACCCATTGTTAATTCATCAACCACACTGGAGTCGGCTCTTATACAACGGGGGCCACCTTTAAAACTTAAATAACGTTGTTCAGGTTACTTTATGCAGCTGTCATGTAAAATCTGTGAACTGACTCGATCCCACGTGTAATGTAAATGCGTGACGAAATTCTCACTCGTTGAAATTTATGCATGCAATGACGGGGTCATCATGGGTAATTGTGACAAGTGTTTGCACATGTGACTAGCATGCATGATTATGACAATCCATAATTGTAGTTAAACATGACTTTTCATGGTGCATAAGATGTGCTCCCGTACACGTATATGTATAACTATATGTCAATATTGTTCAGCTATGTAATGCACACCCAACGCGCACATGCGTCACTCCGAACGCACCATTAACACTCAAGGTGGACTTGAAAGGAAAAACACAAACATATTCCAGTACACGGATGACAGAGGGCAACGTGACCTAACCCTCGACCACATCGATAACGTTCCCTAACGTGCAGTATGATATGTGCTCTATAGTTAGGCTGAGCGTCGTGTTTCTGTCTGTACTTCATATCATAGGTTCTGGACTATGTCAGCGGAAAAAGAACGGGGTCGTGCTTGTTGTCCCTGTTTATTATTTTCATGACAGTCTGTCTTTGATCTTTATTGTAAGTATTAATCAGTTAAAAAAGAAAATAAATAAATAAACATCCACTACATTCCGGTTTAAGCACCTGTCCCAAATTCTGTGTTAGAAACTGATTTATGTTGAATGAACGTTGGTTTGGTAAATTTGTTTCTTTGTTTCTTGTTTCATCACATCATATGTCGTTTTTACACCTCGACATAAATAGTAAGGTGATGTGAAATGGAATTTAACGTCGCATCCAAGATCATTGCACTTACATAGCGACGAGCATGAACATGCGTGCGTGTGTGTGTGTGTGTGTGTGTGTGTGTGTGTGTGTGTGTGTGTGTGTGTGTGTGTGTGTGTGTGTGTGTGTGTGTGTGTTGGGGGGGGGGGGGCGCTTTTTGTACCAGTCCACTGTAGTAGTCCACTGGGATCCCATGCCACAGCTTAACATGAATACCCAACCAAGACACAGTACCTTGACTCTGAGCCGACGAAAGCTTGTTTTAGCCCCTTTTCGCCGAGCGCCAGACAGGGTAACAACTATTACAACTATTACAATATTACAATACGAGCACAGCTGCAAATATGTAATCAACGTCAGTGTGTGGGAAACATATATAAACATGCACTACAACAATGCTCACACCCAATATAGAATCTGAATAATCCATGTCGCTCTCTCAACAACGCACTAACAAAATATCAGATATGGCACATACAATATATATACATTATACAACTCTTTTCTGTTTCCTGCTCTTTTCTAGATATCTCAGTTCCTGGTAGCCTCACGCTCAGAACTCCGAGTTTGATATTTCAGTTCTTGGTAGCCTCATGTTCCGACCTCCGAGGTAGATATATCAGGTCTTGGTAGCCTTATGCTCTGACCTCCGAGGTAGATATCTCAGGATTTGGTAGCCCCAAGAGGTAGATGTGTTATCCTTATTTCTAAAGCCTCTTGGGCCCAAACCCTTGCTATAACGCCTTCATACTAACAGGTCAAGGGTTGTGGTTCCTGGTTCAGCTGTTTCTGAAAGTTCAAGGTCACGTGATAGGCTGGTTTGTCTATCATCAGTGAGCGGATCATACATCTCTGCTTCATCAATGAAATCATATACTCGAGCATCAGTGTCCTCCGTTGACATGTGTATGCCATGGGTAGGTGTGAGGTATTGAAACCTGCAAGGAGATTGCCTCGTTAGAATACTCATAGCTTTTCTTGGATCACAGTGTGTGTGTTACCAACAATTTCAATGGTTGTTACCAACAATGTCAATGGTTGTCTGTCTACATTGGTCAGTTATTATAGTAAGTATGACATGGGGACCACTTTAGTCAGTTATTATGGTAAGTATGGACATATTGTGACCCCGGATCTGAGTATATTTCTGAATTTCGCACACTCACCTGTTTTTCCTTAAGTGTTGACAATACTTGTAGCAGCACACAACCAGGAATAGTATTACAATGAAAAGCACACCTGCAGCAGCAAGTCCTATAAACAGTCCCACGTTATTACCTGACAAAGAAAAACAAGGTTGATTTGTAAATACTGTTGCAGGGCTTTCTTGTAAAATTTATGACAAGCTGATTTATGTTTTCCTACTACACAGTCAACCAGGATGTATGTCCTCTGTTTATACATGAATCAGCTTGTCTTACATTTTACAAGAAATCCCTATATATATCTGTTATAAGGGCTGTAGGAAACGGGCTCTTGGTTAGGTTAGGGGCTAGGCATAGGCGTTGGGCACATACGAGATTGGGGCAGGTGCAAGAGATGGGGAAGTGGTAGGTGCACAACGGTGCAAGACGTGCAGTGGGTGGCAGGTCTAAGACATTAGGGGTTTGTAAGCTTATTAGATATGTGAGGGCGAAGTCTGAGTTTAAACCTAGTAGTAGAAGGAAATGTGACTGGGTGAGTAATTTCATTCACATGGGAGGTGTTTCAGCCACATTGGTACTTCAGGATACATTTAATGTCCCATTTTGTCAACAAAGAACACACCAATAACCAGTCATCAAAGAGGTAAGTTTGCTAGTTTTTAACATTTTTAGCCACACCACAACACAGAAACGACACAGCAACATATTCCAGACACCAGCTAACTTTTACTCATAGTAAAATGCGGCAGACCTAACCGACTTTGAAATAAGGCCAATTACATGTGTGTGTGTGATGTGGCAGAAAATAGGAGTAGGGATCAAATGGTCGAGATATAGTAGTATTCGTTGGTGTGGCAGAATCACTGTTGAAGGAGGTGTGTGCGTCGGGAGGGATTGGTGACGTGGGCAGGTTGAACGATAGGGTTGGAAGGGATTGGTGACGTGGATAGGTTGAACGATAGGGTTGGAAGGGATTGGTGGCGTAGGTAGGTTGAACGATAGGGTTGGAAGGGATTGGTGACGTGGGTAGGTTGAACGATAGGGTTGGAAGGGATTGGTGACGTGGGTAGGTAGGTTGAACGATAGGGTTGGAAGGGACTGGTGACGTGGGTAGGTTGAACGATAGGGTTGGAAGGGATTGGTGACGTGGGTAGGTTGAACGATAGGGTTGGAAGGGATTGGTGACGTGGGTAGGTTGACCGATAGCGTTGGAAGGGATTGGTGACGTGGGAAGGTTGAACGATAGGGTTGGAAGGGATTGGTGACGTGGGTAGGTTGAACGATAGGTTTGGAAGGGATTGGTGACGTGGGTAGGTTGAACGATATGTTTGGAAGGGATTCGTGACGTGGGTAGGTTGAACGATAGGGTTGGAAGGGATTGGTGACGTGGGTGGGTTGAAAGATAGGGTTGGAAAGGATTGGCGACGTGGGTAGGTTGAACGATAGGGTTGGAAGGGATTGGTGACGTGGGTAGGTTGAACGATAGGGTTGGAAGGGATTGTTGGCGTGGTTGGATTGAGGGATAGTGGTAATGGCTGGTGTAACAGAAACGTATTGAACTAGTGGAATGGATACTTTGATTCACGTGTTTGTGACGGGTGCCACGGATGGGACAGGATACCTTCCCCTTTATTGCGACTATGTAGTCTGAACCGTAGTTGTACCTTATAGCAGAGATTTATTTTGACTTTTGAAATAGTCACTTTTCTTTCTGAACAGAAATAAAATACTTCCGTTGAGGGGCATCCTTGCACATGTGTCTTTAATGTGCACCATCATATGGGGCCAACTTTAATTGTTCTGATCGACACATGTTCATCTAAGTTTGTAGCCTTAAGGACAGTAATACTGTGAACTCTTTTCATAAAATAATACTTACCTGATGTCTCTTCGCATATTCCTGTTCCTGTCAACCTGTTGCATTTGGTACATCCTCTCGAACAGTTCTTACAATCAGTCCCGTAGTGAGAGTCTACACATCCAGACACACAGAAGGAGCCCAGCTGACAATATCCTCCATCACACCCACCTGGACATGCTGTACAGTTACCTCCTGGACTGTCACATGGTATGTTACAGTTGATGCCTTGGTATCCTGGCACACAACCCCCAGTGCAGTTAGCACTACCGTGGCTTGAGATCACACATGTGTTATCCCTACAGTTTTTGCTGCAGGTAGACTTGCAACTCAGACCGTAATATCCAGTGTCACACTCAGTGAGGCAATACCCTGTCTCACCGTCACAGTCTGAACAGTGATTGGTTTCCTTGCATGGACTGGCTGAAAGTGATATTAAATGTATTATAATTGGTGGTCTTGTGAATAGAAACATGGGCATTGTGACGTGGGTAGGTTGAATGATACGGATGGAAGGGATTGGTGACGTAGGTATGTTGAAGGATAGGGTTGAAAGGGATTGGTGACGTGGGAAGGTTGAACGATAGCGTTGGAAGGGATTGGTGACGTGGGTAGGTGGAACGATAGGGTTGGAAGGGATTGGTGACGTGGGTAGGTTGAAATATAGGGTTGGAAGGGATTGGTGACGTGGGTAGGTTGAACGATAGGGTTGGAAGGGATTGGTGACGTGGATAGGTTGAACGATAGGGTTGGAAGGGATTGGTGACGTGGGTAGGTTGAACGATAGGGTTGGAAGGGATTGGTGACGTGGGAAGGTTGAACGATAGGGTTGGAAGGGATTGGTGACGTGGGTAGGTGGAACGACAGGGTTGGAAGGGATTTGTGACGTGGGTAGGTTGAAAGATAGGGTTGGAAGGGATTGGTGACGTGGGTAGGTTGAACGATAGGGTTGGAAGGGATTGGTGACGTGGATAGGTTGAACGATAGGGTTGGAAGGGATTGGTGACGTGGGTAGGTTGAACGATAGGGTTAGAAGGGATTGGTGACGTGGGTAGGTTGAACGATAGGGTTGGAAGGGATTGGTGACGTGGGTAGGTTGAACGATAGGGTTGGAAGGTGTTGTTGGCGTGGTTGGCAGGGGGGGGGGGGGGGGGGGGGGGTAGTGGTAGTGGCTGGTGTAACAGAAACGTATTGAAGTAGGGATCGGAAGGGCTATAAACATAGCAATGTGTTTTTCACCAAAGGTAATTGTGGTTAAACACTTTCAACCAAAGCAATCAATTCTTTGATTCACGTGTTTGTGACGGGTGCCACGGATGGGACAGGGTGCCTTACCCCTTATTGCGACTATGTAGTCTTAATCTTAGTTGTACCTTATAGCAGAGATTTATTTTGACTTTTGAAGTAGTTACTTTTTTTTCTGAACAGAAATAAAATACTTCCTTTGAGGGGCATCCTTGCAAATTGTGTTAAATGTGCACCATCATATGGTGTATACTTTTAATAGTTCTGATGGACACGTGTGCATCTAAGTTTGTAGCCTTTAGGGGAGTAATACTGTGAACACTTTTCATAAAATAATACTTACCCGATGTCTCTTCGCATGTTCCTGTCAACCTCTTGCATGGGGTACATCCTCTCGAACAGTTCTTACAATCAGACCCGTAGTGAGAGGCTACACATCCAGACACACAGGAGGAGCCCAGCTGACAATATCCTCCATCACAACCACCTGGACATGCTGTACAGTTACCTGCTGGACTGTCACATGGTATGTTGCAGTTGATACCTTGGTATCCTGGCACACAACCCCCAGTGCAGTTAGCACTACCATGGCTAGAGATCACACATGTGTTATTCCTACAGTTCTTGCTGCAGGTAGACTTGCAACTCAGACCGTAATATCCAGTGTCACACTCAGTGAGGCAATACCCTGTCTCACCGTCACAGTCTGAACAGTGATGGGTTTCCTTGCACGAACTGGCTGAAAAGTTATATTGCATGTATTATAATTGGTGGTCTTGTGAATAGGAAAATAGGCATGTTGATATTGAAACATGGTAAGGTAGTAGGTCAGGACATGCGCACCCATTGCGAATACTTGGTTCTCTTCATTGATTCTCAGTGACTCCTTCAGATAACTGTCACCACTATTTTTGCTGTTTATTTCCAACTGAATCGTATCATTGAGTCTGGTTATTCTCTGGCCTTGACGTTGTATATTAAATGACCAGTTATACGTGACCCACTACAGGTATAAAGAAATAAAAATGTGACTTATAATACCTGAAGAAATGTCTACCAATTGCGTGGCTTTGAATGATATACAAAACTGACTATCCCCGAACAACAGCTGCTGAAAACTGATAATAATGGCGTTGACAAATACCCGAGACTTATAATACCTTGGCTATTTTGTACTAATTGATTTGGATTTGAGAGAAACGGTTTGATTGTACCTAAACAAGTGTATGTTGTCAAAAGAAATCTATGAATAAGATACACTTAGGGTATGAAGACGTGATTGTCTTACCGCATTTAGCTAATATTATTTGTGCGAGTATGTGTATTAATACAGAGTTCCCTGATAGTACCTGCATACGGCCTCACATAACCAAGCAGAATGGCATCCCTGTAGTGCCTCCCTGTAGGACATGGATATTCTTCCAGCTCTACTGATCACTCCCTATATATGTTTGAGCCTGCCCTGTAGCAGTCTTGTAGTGCCTTCCTGTAGGACATGGATATTCTTCCAGCTCTACTGATCACACCCTTATATGTGTGAGCCTACCCTGTAGCAGTCCTGTAGGGGCTACCCAATAATTGCATACTTGGATATTTCAAGTTAAATTTGTTGGATGATTTTCTTATATCATCAAAATTTTATTCTTAGCAAACTGAAAGTGGTATATTCCCCGTTCAGGGAAAAAAGGCAATTGGTACAGTGTGTCAAACACCAAGAACTTGTTTTAACCTCAGTAGCGTTTTTTCTTTGAATTGGGGACGAGTTCGTCTGTCAGTTTTAAGTGTCTTGTTTACGCTATTTCCTTTTATCAAATCTAATTTGGGGATCTAAGTAATTATGATTAAGTATGATATAAAGTTTCAAAACTTGCAAACTTGTTGTGTTGCTCTTGCTTGCTCTTTGATCTTACATTATTTAAAATGACACATTATTGTACATAGGTATGGACATTGGCAAATAAAAACACTCAATCAGCAATATACACACAACGTGTTACCTTCAGTAGCAGTTACCAAGCAGGCAATCCATATCATCAGCGAGGCAGCCATTATGTTGACTGTAACTGATCAGAAAAAAACAATTAAGTGATATCGCACATTAACCATTAACATAAACATCTAAACAATGAAACAACAATTGTTTGATGCAACCACAACGAAATTAAAAGTTGTCCAGGTGTGCAGAAAACAAAGAGTGTATGTGTATACTCCTCATGTAGCTGAGAATAAAAGAAGCTGGACACAGAACACACCACATTATATGGAGTCAAGCTTATAGAAAAGCTTTATTGAAGCCTTGAATGGTGTAACCCTCATCAAACAACTTTTGAGCAGGCACCATGTAACGATCTTTGAAGTTTTTGTGGAAAGAGCTTGCTCAATTGTACCTCACAAGAAGTGAAATGTATCACACAACGGATGGAGCTGCTGAAATATAGCTAGGAGTTGGAAGTCATCCTGAATGTGTATGTACATATCTCTATGTATATACATGAAACAGATAAGGTAGTTTTACTGGTCAAATTCATTTCTAGTTCTAGTGGGTAGATGAGTCGAAGAGAATTGGCAGTTTTACCATCAGTCGACGATATCAGATCACTGTAATACCTTACCTGTGAACATCTGGGTAGGAATAGATCTTCAGCAACCCATGCTTGTTATAAATGGCTACTATGCTTGTCACAAGAGGTGGTCAGGCTCGCTGGCTTGATTGATGCATGTCATCGTATCCCTAACGCGAAATCGTATCCCAATTGGTCTAGACTTGATTATTTACAGACCGCCATCATAAAGCTGGAAAACAAACAAACAAATAAACAAAGATTAATGTACCTGAGGCTTAAATTCAACTTTAAGAATTGCATTGGCCTCAGCCAATCTCAATCTATAATTATTACCTGGAATTCTCGAAGACACCATTTCTTATCCAATGAGAGTGACACTTCAAACTTTGCCTCCATCCTTGGAACCATTAGTAAAGAATCATATTTTGGTCTTAATTTGGTATATTCTTGTAGATAGACCAATTGGTTTGTGTTATATATTTTAGTGTAGTAAGTGTAAGGTCTACCTACTGTTTGACTGGGACTCTATATTAGGAACACGTTTTAGATACAAAATAAAGTAAGTGACAGACAAATATTGCTTTGCGTGGACACCCTGATCCGGAATATATTGGTCAGACAGTTGGACTTAAAATTGAAGAAAATATGAAATTAAATGACAAAAGTGGCCACTCAAACCAAAATCATATAAATCCTTCCGAATGACATGCTTCCAGGTAGTGTCAAATGGAGATATTTATGATAATAATGGTAGTTCCTAGTATCTGTACTTTTAAGGTACATTTCGTGACGACATAAAGCAGACGGTTTAAAATCCTGGATCAACAATCGAATGTCATAAAGATTACTTCTAAGTCCTCTGCAATTCTGTTAGATTAGGTTAACTGGTTGAGTTATGGTGGTTCAAAGGGGGACCTCTCACATGATCATATGGAGGAAGTAATCCTGCCTCGGTCTTCTGAACACAGGATCCTCTTCATTTCTGGAGGTCCAAGCGATAGGACTACTGCACAAAGACAACAACCCTGACATTCTACACATTGAAAATAAACAGTGTCCGCTCCACAGTGTAATGATAATATTACCTTGAAGAAATGCGAAGGTCTATTTTCTTAACATTTTCAAATATATTATCATAAAGACACTCTTTGTGTTCGGCGACGACATATCAAGGACTAGATCATGGTATATATTGTACGGGTGGTCTGACGCCATAAATGCTATGTTTAATGTGTTGTCGGCTGACTCAGATTTTATGATGTGCACAAGACTAACAGTAAACGATTACTGTCACCACACAAAAACAAATCACAATGCCTGGCTCTCGACTTACAATGTGCACCGAGTCATGGAGAATAGTTCCACGCCATATTGTGTCCATCATCATGTCTTGCACAAGAACCTCTCCCAAACTATGTGAGTTAAAAACAAATGCTTGTGTTATGGTTAACATCATATAGTGGACTCGCATTGAGCAGATTCCTTATTCCTTATGATCCTGGAAGAATTGTTTTAATTCAGAATGTCAACACTTGATGATAATGGCTGAACATGCATTACAATCTGGTCCTCTCTGCTAATGTTGTTACCTGTGTTATACCTCGATAGTGAAATTTGGAACTTTCACTGTGAGCCGCTCAGCGACTAATGCCTCCCGCTTACATAAGTTGTGTGTACACGTTGATACTTGACACTCATAAAAAGTGTCACGACTGCCGATAGATAGTAATGTAATCAATCACACGACCAAGCCAAGGCATGTGCTCAAAATATTCTCACCCAAACTGTCCGAGATGAACCGAATATGACTACAAATCACATACAATACTCACCAACATCTCATGAGAACAGTACAATGTTTTATGCTGCATGTGTCACATGCACCCCAGAAAGCCTGTCGAACGGGTAACGTCCCTGTTGTCAGCCACGTATCAAGTATGCATGTAGGCATTAGCTATGTCACTGCATGACTAACTGCTCTTTCGGGTCACCACGTATACCCGCTTTAACTGTTGTTATACACATTCATCAGCTATGTACTGTTAAACCTGTGATAAGGATACTGAGATAAGGAACCTGACATGTATCAATGAAGTCTGAATTATGAGTATGCCATTTGGTGTATCACAGAATAATCGTCCTGATGCCGTATAGTACATTGCAACTGCAACAACACGTTCCTGCATTTGTGTCATGCTATCAACGCAATACAGGGGCATGAATAGAACACTGTGACACACGAGCGCATAAGCCATGCTAAACATCATATGACACTGGATGATGTATACACACATTCATTACACACCTCTGCACTTGGACTATGCTATATATTATATGACACCAGATAACGTATGAACACACTCACGACACACAGAAGGACGCTACGACCATGCTAAATAGTTTAATATAAAACGATAATGGAAAAAATAACGAGTCTCGATTCTTTTCGATTGGGCGTAAAAGGCAATACAGTGGTGACAATTGTATAAGAAGGTCTTCGCAGAGATGTGTATACAACCTCTCATAACACACATCGACGATAAGGCACATGGAGGTGTATACTATCTATCAACAAACATCGACGATAAGGCGCAGGGAGGTGTATACAATCTCTCAACACACATCGACGATAAGGCACAGGGAGGTGTATACAACCTCTCATAACACACATTGACGATAAGGCGCAGGGAGGTGTATACAACCTCTCATAACACACATTGACGATAAGGCACAGGGAGGTGTATACAACCTCTAATGACACACATTGACGATAAGGCACAGGGAGGTATATACAACCTCTCATAACGCCTTGACGATAAGGCACAGGAAGGTGTATACAACCTCTCATCACACATTGACGATAAGGCGAAGGGAGGTGTATACAACCTCTCATCACACATTGATGATAAGGCACAGGGAGGTGTATACAACCTCTCATCACACATCGACGATAAGGCGCAGGGAGGTGTATACAACCTCTCATAACACACATTGACGATAAGGCGCAGGGAGGTGTATACAACCTCTCATAACACACACCGACGATATGGCGCAGGGAGGTGTATACATCCTCTCAGAACACACATCGACGAAAAGACGCAGGGAGGTGTATACGACCTCTCATAACACACATTGACGATAAGGCACAGGGAGGTGTATACGACCTCTCATAACACACATTGACGATAAGGCACAGGGAGGTGTATACAAGCTCTCATGACACACATTCCCGATAAGGCACAGGGATGTGTATACGACCTCTCATAACACACATTGACGATAAGGCACAGGGAGGTGTATACGACCTCTCATAACACACATTGACGATAAGGCACAGGGAGGTGTATACAAGCTCTCATGACACACATTCCCGATAAGACGCAGGGAGGTGTATACGACCTCTCATAACACACATCGACGATAAGGCGCAGGGAGGTGTATACAACCTCTCATCACACACATCGACGATAAGGCGCAGGGAGGTGTATACAACCTCTCATAACTCACATTGACGATAAGACGCAGGGAGGTGTATACAGCCTCTCATAACACACATTGACGATAAGGCGCAGGGAGGTGTATACAATCTCTCATCACACACATTCCCGATAAGGCGCAGGGAGGTGTATACAATCTCTCATCACACACATTCCCGATAAGGCGCAGGGAGGTGTATACAACCTCTCATAACACACATTGACGATAAGGCGCAGGGAGGTGTATACAACCTCTCATAACACACATCGACGATAAGACGCAGGGAGGTGTATACAACCTCTCATAACACACATTGACGATAAGGCACAGGGAGGTGTACACAACCTCTCATAACTCACATTGACGATAAGGCGCAGGGGAGGTGTATACAAGCTCTCATAACACACCTAGACGATAAGGCGCAAGGAGGTGTATACAACCTCTCATAACACACATCGACGATAAGGCGCAAGGAGGTGTATACCACCTCTCATAACACACATCGACGATAAGGCCATGCTTAATATTCTATAACACTGAGTCATGCTTGTAAACACTTACAATACACTAGCTAAAGGGTACGCGAGGAAGAATGTGTGCCAAGCACTGCATTGCGACCACATTGGGCTGTCAGATTGCCTTGGTCTGCGTCCCTGTGTAGGTGGATGAGTCTGGAGCACTTGTTTCAGGAGTAGTGTCCCTTTGTCCAATACACCACTTCGACCCTAACTTCACCCAGACGGGTAGTGGGTTGGGCCAAGTTAAACCAATCAGCAGGCCATGCCGTATCAATATTGTATTGGTGAAACTTGTAAATCTATTCAAAAGATTCAAATGTATAATTTTAATTATGTAATTTACCTAGAATCAAAAGTCCAGAAGCCGGTTGCGCATGTGCAAATCAAGAGCAAAATATAGGCTGTCAGTTTGTACCTGCTTGAGTATATCTCCCGAGTACACTTTGTTACACGACAGTGTATTTCATTGTTAAGCAATGATTGTTACTGTATTACATTGTTTCTATTGAGGTACCTTGGTCACGCCAGAATACAGTGATATAACTGTAATACTTTTCAAAGCAGCGTTAAACCCAATTCACTCACTCGAAAGTTCTGTTGATAGTCAGTAGAAGTCCATTGCAATGTATTTGGTAAATGATAAGTCGGAATCAGGATCACGAATGTAGTAGTTTTTAATGTAGGCAAGGGTGAGAAAGTCATTATATTTAGATGCTCGAACTATCTGTAAACTCTCCTATAGCATGGATGGATGTGAAACGTTATAGAAACATGTGGAATAGTGTGTGATGTTCAAGTGAAACTGAACTGGTCTGGCACTGTGAAGAAAGTAACCTTGAAACTGGTTAGCCTAAAAAAGTAGAGAGGGCGCGTGCCAGATACATTTCACGTTTCATCTCGCATTTCATCTGATATTACATCAAGACCAGCGGTTGTGTGAAGATCTCTTATCACCCCAGATTCCCAGCCTTGGCCTATCTAGGAAGCCTGACCTCTGTTGCGGAGAGGAACATGTTATTAACTGCACTTTTTGCTATCACCACTGCCATCATATTTTGTTTTTGACACAGTCATTGAATATTGTACAACGTTAACATATTATTTCTATTTGGTAACCGACATCTTGGTGCTGCAAGTCAGAGATCCACTAGTTCTTAGCATTGTCTCTGTGATACTCCAAGGTGGGTGAGGAGCTCGAGTAATGAAATATTATACAATGAACGTGAGCGGACCCCTAAAAAAAATACACATCCACTTGGCAGAGACCTACAAATCCATTAGTTATGGCTAACTTATGGCTTGTCTACCTCACATATATTTTCCTGTCACTGTGAATTAGATTCAAAGTACCTCACTATCAATCAGCCGTGTATGTTTGTTGTTTGTTGTTTATTCAAATATCAAATGTATATGTAATTAAGTTATATTTTTGCTTTTACATAAATAAGAAAGAAAACAAGCCCTAGTATGTGTGAAGTCAATTTATATTTTTGTAGTATCTTTTGTAAATACTTCCTCTAAATATTTCCACAAGAGAAAAATAAAAAAAAGAGTACTGCTGTGTCATTGTGCTGTTTGAATGTTATGATTTAATGTCGATCTGTCATTTAGAAATGTATTTACCACAAGGGCATTTTCTTATCGATACGAGTGTTACCTTGATTCTATTATTTTATCTATTTACAATCATGTATAATCATAAATAAATGAAAGTATTTTTAATTCATACTTCTGTTGGTTTTTTTTGTGAACAAAGAATGAAACAATTGGGTAAGTGAAAAGACTATTCTCAGTTGCGTACATCATGAGAGAGTAGGACAAGACCTGGTTGGAACACTTTTTATTTTTTTCATATACAACCATTATTAAGTTCACATGCAACTTGACTTATCATCTAATGAACAAACATGAGGAACAATCCAAAGTCTATTTCTCTCATGTAATGAGTCAAGGAGTAATGTTGTTTTGTGTTGTTGTTTATTTTTACTTCAGGACTTTTACCTGCTCTTGAAAAGAAAACAAAACTTTTTGACTTAAGACACAACTATATACTAGACAGTGTGTTCCAACTTAGTTGAAAGGTCTACTTCTTACCAGTTACTAACACTCAACCAGCCAGTAAGGTTAAACAAGAGAAAACTGGAAATTATACGTGCACTTTTAGGAGTAATAATACGAAGAGCAAAAGACAACATGAGTTAATAGAACAATAAGTATAAAGACGTTATGTAATACAGTATAGTGGCGAGGCGATCAACGACGTTCCTAGAATTTGCAGTTGGTAATGAAGTTACTGCTCACCCTTACTTATATAGTCTTACATTTCTGAATAAACATTCCATTACAACCAATGGAAATGTCTTGTTTATAGTGCTGTGTAAGCAATGTAATGACACATGTAACCCTTCAAACTCCCTAAAAAACTTTTTGTTTCTTTTTTGATGAATTTTAAAAAAGTGATTTTTGTTTCACCAATGTGAGATTAAAAGTAATTCGATGATTGTTAAATGTTTTAAGAACGTATTTAATCGAGAAAAATAAAATTCATGATAAATAAGTGTGTTAAAACAAAACAAAACAACATGAAACATATCTGTTGATGGTTTAAAACATCTCATTAATATAATTTCGTATCTTTATTGGAAAGGCTTTGATTGTTCAACAATAATTGTTCGTCTTTATTAAAATATTTCTTTTAGCAATAAGCCTTCATATGCAGAAGAAGTCAACTAGGTATACCGCATTCGCAAAACTTATCGTCTCACTTAGATTTTTTGAGTGGATCACAATGAGTGGAATGGAAAATGGAGAATTATGGAATGGTGCTTCTCACATTTCCAAATTAACACACTGTCAAAATATCTCACTTTTTAAAAAAAATGAATTGTATGCATTATAGGAATTGTTTTACTTTTTGGTCGACTCAGCAGCATTTTGTTC